CCCCCTCAGCTCCCCCTCAGCTCCCCTCAGGACCCCCTCAGGGTCCCCTCAGCTCCCTTCAGGGCCCCCTTGTTTCCCCTCAGCTCCCCTCATGACACCCTCAGTGTCCCCTCAGGATGTCCTCAGCTGCCCCTCTGGGCCCCCTCTGTGTGTCCTCGAACTCCCAGGATCCTTTCAGGATCTTCTCAGGACCCCCTCAAGACCCTGCAGTCCCCACAGTGTCTCTTGCTACCGGTGGTGGCCTGTCCTCCTGCCACGGCTCTCTGGTGGTGGAAGCCTGCCAGGGGAGGCTCATGGCTGGCCGGGCCTGGGCGCCTGCAGTCAGCTCAGGTGCCCGCAAGACGGCGGGCTGCGGGGCGCACCTGGTCCCACGGCTGGGGCTGGGGCAGAGGGAGCCAGAGCTGCCCAGGGCAGAGCACGTCCCCCCGCCTGGGCCCAGGAGCCCTTCAGAGGACCACGGGGCTCTGCTGGAACAGGGTGGCCCGGGTGGCACGGTGCTCGGGTCGAGGCAGAGGCTGAGCCAGACCTGCAGGCTCAGTGGTTTCTGGGAGTGCCAAGGTGGGAGGGAGGGGGTGGGCCAGGGGTGGGCAGGGGCCTCATGTCCTTCCTTTGCCATTTGCTGTGGCCTGCTGGCATGGCCATCTGGGGCCAGTGCAAATGGAAAACCAGTGCGTGGTGTTGCGACCACACCAGGGTGGGCAGTGGGAGCAGGCAGCCGGCCTGTGGCAGCTGAACTTGCCATCACACAGAGAGAGCATGGCGCCGTCGGCCAAGGGTCTCAAGCCACAGAATGACCTCTGTCCAGGGGCAGATGATAGAGAAATGGCCACTGGCCACTCAGTCCCCTTCTCCCTACCTCCACGCAGAGGAGGCCTTGGCCTTCCTGGCCACGGCCACCCCAACCTCTCCTGCAGCAAGTCCCCTCTGCCAGAGCCTTAGAGGGTGGAGCACCTGGGGCCTTCAGAGTGTGTGAAGGTGGCCCTCATGCAATGGATCCCAGGTCACATGGGAAGCCCTGGGTGTGGCCACCAAGGGACTTGGCACACGGCAAGTCTCAGGATGAGGTGGCTTCTGGTCCTGCAGTGGCCCGCTGCTGCCTGTCCCCCACCGGGGCCACCTGTCTGCTGTGCATCTGAGGCTTTGTCCTCCAGACCCTCCACACACTCATCCCCTGTTTGCAGAATTTCATTGAATTATGGAGGATTTCAAATCCACCCCAAAGAAGAGAGCAGGGGAGAGGCCACTGGGTGGCCACAGGGCCCTGCTCAGCCCAGCACGTGCAGGAGGTGCCATCTTTCTGGGCCTCAGGGGGCCTTCCCCAGGTGGCTCCTTGGCATTCAGGCGAGGCCCACCAGGCAGGTCAGAGGCTGGAGGACAGAGTGGGCTGGTTGACAACCAGCCAGGAGAGGGACTCAGCCTGGGGAACACCCAGCGGGCCCAGCTGGCCCCAAGGGATGATGTGGGGGATGGACAGCAGAGGTCAGGAGGCGTCACCAAGAGCAGGGCACCTCTAAGGGCTTGGGTCCAGGGTGGGAGGGGGGGAGGGGGCCAGGGGTGGGCAGGGGCCTCTTTGCCCTCCTGCAGGAGAGAAGGGGTAGGGTCTGAGTGCTGGGGCACCCTGACCAGCAGAAGTGGGAGTTGGGGTGCTGAGCTGGGTGCAGGAGCCTCCCCCGTGCCCCTGGCTCTCCTGGGAGGGGCCGTGTCCTGCAGGAGCCAAGGGAGGAGTGGAGGGGAGGAGAGAAGCTGGGCCAGAGGGTGTGGACAGGGCGCCCAGCCCCGACCCCCGGGCTGCTGTCCCACCCCGCAGCACAGTGACATCATGGGCAGGGAGAGGGCCCCAGGGCTGGGGTGTTTCCCAGACCGAGTTCTGCGAAGAGGGGAACAGAAAGCGCTGACACAGACCTGGAGCCGGCCCACAGCCCCTCTCCCTCCGGCTCTCCTGGAGGCCACGGTGCTGAGCCCAGTCTCCCGGGCAGGGCCACTCCAAGGTGGTTCAGGGCAGCACTCAGGGCTCCCAAGCCAACAGCCGTCGAGGTGAAATAACGCTGATCCTGCTGGATCCTGACCGGCTCCAAAACCACGGGACAAGATGGAAACGGGGGAGGAATTCAGTGGCCGCTTGGCCCAAACTATGAAGGCAACGGATCTGGATGGAAAGCCGGACGGGTCAGCTCCAGGGTGCAGGCTTAGGTGGCCCCGGGGCTTTGGGAAGGCAGTTCCTGTTTTCACTCACCTCGAGCCGTGCTCTAGGGGCAGCCGTGGGAGGAGACAGGTTGAGCAGGGAAGGAAGAGAGATTCCACAGGGGCCATTACGAAACCAGGGAGGACCACACAGCGCCAGCGCTTCAGAGAGGCAGGGGCAGTGCGACCACCGCCCCTTTGCACCACCCTGGCTGGGGCTCTGGAGGTGGTCACAGGTGCCCACCCTCGGGGCAGGCCCAGGCCGACTACAGTCCTCTGCTGGGTCCTCACTCTTTGCAGATCTGGCTCCCAGTGCCCTGTTTCCTAGAGGGACCCAGGTGTCCAGGGGCTGAGGCAGCTCAGGAGGGCACCATCCTGCAGCTTCCTACGGGGCACTCTCAGTTTCCAGGGCGGGGGTCTGGATGGCATCTGACTGCCCGGCACCCTTGTGCTCAGAGAGTGGACCAGGGCAGGGGCAGGGAGGTGTTCTTTTGACACAGCCACACAGGTGCAAATGGGGGGCCAGGCTCAGAGTGAGGGTGCTGCCTGGGAGTGGGGGCTGCAGAGCCGTGGAGCTGGGCAGTGCCCCTGGACTCGCATGGAGTCCTCCACAGAGGCCTGGTGTGACTGGCCTGAGGCTGCCCAGCAGGGGAGATCGTGGGCCTGTCCTGACCTGGAACAGGAAACTTCCCAGCAGTAGTCAGCCCTTTGGGACCCCCAGGAATCAGGGGCTTTTGAGTGAAGGGCCCAGGCAAGTCCACCCTCCACAGGTGGCCCAGGCAGCAGCGCTAGGTGGCCGGCACAGGAAAGGGCCCACTGGAAGCCCCGACTGCTCTGCAGGGACTGGCCTGGGTAGAAGTGGAGACAGGTGGGGGCCTGGGAGGCAGGAAGGGGCAGGCGGGGATGGTGGCCAGGAACCCCAGCCTGTGTCTGTCTCCCAATGTTCAGGGCCTCCCAGGGCCACCTGCTCTCCAGGGCCCTGCTGGGGAGGAGTGCAGGGTGGGCTTCACCCAGCAGAGGGTTGTCCTGGGAGGGGGGGGGGCAGTGCCCAGCAGACACGCAGCAGCATGGCTTCTTGACCTGCAGAGGTGGAGAATCCCTTGTCCTGTGGTTCCAGGCTAGGTGGCACGGTGGGGACTGGACCCTGCTGGCAGCACCTTCTGCTGACCCAGAGGGCACATCCTGTGCCAGAGTTTGGGATGGGCAAAGTCAGGGTGGGACAAACCAAGCAAGATTCAGGCAAGAGCAGGGACCCCCACCCCCACCCCCGCTGAGCCTCAAGGCCAAGGTAGGCTCCCCATGCACAAAGGGGACCAGGAAGGGGCCCCAGTGACTACTGGGGACCTGGGTCTGTAGGGACAGTGGAGAAGAGGTCCACGTCCAGGCCAGTGACTTCCTTGGGTGCCTCTGGGCGAGGAGCCTGCTGGGCCAGGAGGCTGGAGCACTGCTCTGGACCTGCAGGCCCTTCTGTGGCTTCTGCTGGTGGCTGTAGAGTGGGGGCGGCAGCAGGGTGTGGGGACCAGTTGTCCAAGCCCTTGCTGGTCTTGGAGGAGCTGTGGTCAGAGGCCTGGGGCCAAGTGGGGCCAAGGTCCCTGCTCCGAGGTGCGTGGGGCTGGGGAGGTGGTCTGCAGGGAGGGTGGCTCCCCCTGCCCAGCTCCAAGTGCAGAGAGCTGCAGGAGAGAAGGCCCACCAGGGCCTGCAGGGCCAGGGGGTCGGCACGGGCCCCCCAGGCTGTGGGCTGGGCTGCACAGGGGCAGCAGCAGCCGACCTGGGTCTCCCTGTGGGACTGGGCCCGCCTATCCCATCTCCACCCGAGCCTAGGGCTGCCCCACATGGTGTGAGCCTGGACCGGCGTCCCCCACTGCCCCTGCCAGGAAACAGGACGTGGGCAGCCCTCCTCTGAGCTCAGGCGCTGAGGTGGCACAGGCAGGAGTGACATGAGCTGGGGACGAGGGAGCCTCCGAGGGTGGGGGCTGCCGCTCGTTCTGCTCTTTCAGGGTTGTTTCCAGAACAGTCTCGGGCATGGGTGGCCAAAGTCCCACTTTCCTCCCGCACAGTTGTCCTCTGCCCACCGTGCTGCCACCTCGGGCTGGGGCTGGCAGAGACAGTGAGAGCCCTGCCACTCCTGCTCTGTGCTCTGCAGTGTCCAGGACACCCAGCCCAGGACTGGCCACGCAGCCCAGTCCCCCACTCTGCTTCTCAGGCGGCCCCTGTGCGGGCTTCTGCAGTGCGGGATCAGAGCTGGGTGCCACCACTGGCGGCAGGCGGTACTGACATGGCTGGAGGCCTTCGGTGGGACAGGCTGTGTCAGGGTCTCAGCCTGCTGTGGCTGTGATGGGGCCTGGGGTCCTCAAGGAAGGGCTTTTGGAGGAGCTCGCTGGAGATGCTTGCATCTGGGCGGGTGGGCTGTCCTCTGACGGAGTGGGGTGCCCATGTGGCGAGCAAGTACAGAATGACTCAGGGGTCTCTTAGGGCCTTGGCCTCTACCTTATTCGAGACTCTGAGAACTGTGGTGAGGGTAGTAACTGGCATTTAAAGGCGGCACAGAGAAGCACCTGAGCCCTGAACCCTCCAGCTGAGCCGCAGGCTTTGGGAGGCTCCTTCTCTACCCTGACCCGTTTCTGTGTCGGGTCAGCTCTGCAGCACCTACAAGGCCTGAGGCCTCCATGGTGCCCTGCCCAGGCAACAGGGGCCTAGGAGGGGGCCGTGGTTCCCCCCCAGAGAGGAGGAGGGCCGGGAGGGGGCCGTGAGCTCTCCTGCAGACAGGAGGAGGGCCGGGAGGGGGCTGTGGTTTCCCCCAGAGAGGAGGAGGGCCGGGAGGGGACTGTGGGTCTTCCTCCAGACAGGAGGAGGGTCAGGACAGGGCCATGGGTCCCCTCCAGAAAGGAGGAGGGCCAGGAGGAGGCCGTGGGTCCCCCCAGAGAGGAGGAGGGCCGGGAGGGGGCTGTAGGTCCCCCCAGACAGGAGGAGGGCTGGGAGGGGGCCGTGGGTCCCCTGCAGACAGGAGGAGGGCCAGGAGGGGGCCATGGGTCCCCTGCAGACAGGAGCAGGGTCCCCCCCTCCCAGAGAGGAGGAGGACCGGGAGGGGGCCGTGGGTCTTCCTCCAGAAGGAGGAGGGTCAGGATGGGGGTGTGGGTCACCCCCAGACAGGAGGAGGGCCAGGAGGGGGCTCTGGTTCCCCCAGACAGGAGGAGGGCCGGGAGGGTCCATGGGTCCCCCCAGACAGAAGGAGGGTCAGGATAGGGGTGTGGGTCAACCCCAGACAGGAGGAGAGCCAAGAGGGTCCGTGGGTCCCCCCCAAGACAGGAGGAGGGCCAGGAGGGGGCTGTGGGTCCCCCCCAGACAGAAGGAGGGTCAGGATGGGGGTGTGGGTCAACCCCAGACAGGAGGAGGGCCGGGAGGGGGCTGTGGGTCCCCCCAAGACAGAAGGAGGGTCAGGATGGGGCTGTGGGTCCCCCCCAGACAGGGGGAGGGCTGGGAGGGGGTCATGGCATGGTAGGGCCTCCCTCTGCGACCACTACCTCCTCCCCTGATGGTCATAGCTGAATCAAGGGGGAGAGGGCCTGGTCCTGCCCACAGCAGCCCCACCCTGGGCAGGAAGTCTCAGCGCCACAGTCACCATTCCCAGCCTGTGGCAGCTTCTCCGAGAGCCTGCTGTGTGCAGGCCGACGGGGGGGCCCCGAGGGTGGAGACCTGCTCCCCTGAGCCGCTGGGCCCTGCACACAGCTCTGTGCTGGGCTAGGGCAGGCACGTGCTGGCTGCGGGCCCCCAGGACTTCACCCCCTGGACTGTTGGGAAGGCACCAAAGGTGTGCCATCCTTTGGGTGGAAGCCAGAGTCCTGTGAGTGGGTGCTCCGCCCAGGCCTCCTGTGCCTGGGGACTTGGCAAAACTGGGGCTGCCCTCCCCAGTGATCCAGGGGAGCATCATTGCCAATGGGAAATTTAAAGACTGTGCTCAGATTTTTTTAGAAAAGCTTCCCAACAAAATACTGGACTGTCTGAGGCTGACCTGAAAATGAAAGCCCGGGGTGGACATGAGGACATCAGAGAGGAGCCAGGCCGGGACCCACACCCTCACCCTCCACAGCAGGCTCTGCCACAGCCAGCTTCTACCTCTGCCAAGGCAGCAAGCTGGGCAGCAGCGTGGGCCTGGACCTGGCGTCCTCCCCACACAGGCCTGGTCCCATCTCATGGCTGCGATGTTATGGGACTCTGAATGGGTTCTCAGGACTCTGGGATTCTGGGGACAGTGAAGAGGACATCTGGGTGGCCTGTGTCTCGTAGAGAAAGGTGGCCAGGAAGGGGCGTCCCAGTGGTTGGGGCCAGGAGGTCCTGGGGAACCCGGGAGCTGGCCTGGCTCAGCGTCCCTCTGCGGGCCTCAGTATTGGGATGGCAGGAGGGAGGAGGGAAGAGAGTCCTGGGGGGCCCAGCAGCCACCTGGGGGCAGGGCGCAGACTTCACCTGCTGGCGGATGCGCCATCACACTTCAGTAGCCGTGGGATCCACCGAGGGAGCAGGAGGAAGCTTCCTGGCTGTGGTGGGATCTGTGCCTGCTTCCCTAATGCACTGTGGGCTGGGAGGGTCCCTGGGGGCCCCAGGCAGCTCCAGGGAGCCAACCAGCCTGCAATCACGGGGTTGGTTGGCTGCTCCTCCCTCTCCTGCGTGGAGAGGGCTCCTAATTCCCCCTGTAGCAGACAGGCCAGCCTGGGTCTGGCTGTCCTCAGGAGACTGGGTGCCAGAGGCGGCCCCTGCCCCACGCAGGTCCTTCCTGGAACCCGGCGAGGAGGCAGAGGTGAGGTGTGTGGCCTGTGGGTTTGGGCTCTGGGGGATGGCCATTCCTTCTGGCTGACCACAGCAGTGCTGTGCACCAAGGTCAGCGTCTCTCACAGTGGGGCAGCTGAGACTAGCCAGCTGGGGAGGGTGAGGCCGAGGACCCGAGTCCGACCACTGTGCTGACTACCACTCCTGGGCAGGAGACTTCTGCCCAGTCCATGTGCACTGAGCCTGGGGGCTGGGCTTGGCCCTCCTGGGCTGCCCTGTAGAGCATGGGCCAGGGAGCGAGGGAGCACAGTGGACGGTGGAGTGGAGGGCTCCACCCCTGAGCAGCAAGGTCGGGAGGGACAGGGCTGCCCTCAGAGTTCAAGGAGTGGACACCCTGACCCCAGATGTGGGTTGGGCTGGAGCCTCAAGGGGATCCAGGAAGGACCTCTGGACCTCGGGCCTGGGGGTCAGTACTCATAGGGAGGTGGAGCATTCTGGGGGGCCATTGCTGGGGGCGGACAGGTCCAGGGAGGGGCAGTGTGGTGCCAGGAGTGGCAGCAATGCTGCCTTGGCCCTGTTCTGGGGCCCTGACTTGGGACCTTAGGCCAGCAGGTGGGGCCACTGTGTCTGCTTGTGGGACCTTGGCACTGGTGGGCCTGGGCTTCCTGTCCAGCACCTGAAGTCCTAGAGGGCTTGGGTTCTGGAGGGTGGGGCCTAGGTGCTGGGCTGTGGACTCCAGCTCCCCCCGCCTCCCTGTGCCCAGCCCCAGGCTGGTCCCAGGAGGGAAGGGCTCTGGAGGTGGGAAGGGGAATCTGTCCGTCTCTGCCACCTTGGGCCTGTGCAGCGGGCAGGGCTTAGTCCTTGAGGTGACTTTGGGTGTGTGGGCATGGGTCAGGACTCGCCTTCACCTGAATCCCTGCCCAAGGGGCAGCAGGCCAGGGGGTAGGGCAGGGCCTCACTCCCTGGGGTCCTTCCTTCGGCCCACGCTGACCTCCTGTCCCTCCTGCAGCCCCAGGACCATGAACAGCACTTGCAGCACTGTCTCCTGGCCCCCTGGGCTCAAGCACGTCTTTGTCACCTACTCGGGCACGCTGATGGTGCTGGGCCTGCTGCTCAACGGCCTGGCGCTCTGGGTGTTCTGCCGCCGCATGCGGCAGTGGACGGAGACCCGCGTCTACATGACCAACCTGGCCGTGGCCGACCTCTGCCTGCTCTGCTCCCTGCCCTTCGTGCTCTTCTCCCTGCAGCACACCTCCGACACCCCGCTGTGCCAGCTCTCGCAGGGAATCTACCTGGCCAACAGGTACATGAGCATCAGCCTGGTCACGGCCATCTCCGTGGACCGTTACGTGGCCGTGCGGCACCCGCTGCGTGCCCGAGGGCTGCGCTCCCCGCGGCAGGCTGCGGTGGTGTGTGCGGCGCTCTGGGTCCTGGTCCTAGGCTCCCTGGTGATCCGCTGGCGCCTGGGGCTGCAGGAGGGCGGCTTCTGCTTCCGGAACTACGCCCGGCACGACTTCAGCAGCACCACCTTCTCACTACTGGGCTTCTACCTGCCACTGGCTGTGCTGGTGTTCTGCTCCCTGCAGGTGGTGACTGCGCTGGCCCGGAGGCCAGCCTCCGAAGCCGGCCAGGTGGAGGCCACCCACAGGGCTGCCCGCATGGTCTGGGCCAACCTGGTGGTGTTTGTAGTCTGCTTCCTGCCGCTGCACGTGGTGTTGACGGTGCAGGTGGCCAGGGGCCTGTCCTCCTGTGCAGAGCGCAAGGCCTTCAGCCGGGCCCTCTCCATCACCAGCAGGCTCTCGGACGCTAACTGCTGCCTGGACGCCGTCTGCTACTATTACATGGCCAAGGAGTTCCAGGAGGCCTCCGCGCTGCCCACGCCCGCCGGCACCAAGGCCCACAAGAGCCAGGACTCTCTGAGCCTCACCCTCACCTAGGGGGCACTCACTGTGGGCCAGGTCTCAGGGCTCTGGGAGGGGCAGCTTCCAGGGCACCTGGGGCCAGCGTGGAGCCCCGAGACAGACCCTGGCCTCACCCTGGTCTGTGGGCCCTCTAGGAGGCCAGTGGAAGGGCTGGACCCAGGTTTGCCGAGCCTCGGTGGCTTCGTTGCTATCCTGGGAAGGGACAGGGACAGCAGCCAGAGGATGACTCCTGAGGGGGTCAACCCCAAGGACCCTGGGACAGGGACACACAGCTGTCACCCTAGAGCTGACTCCCTTGGGGCACCGGGTGGGGCCTTGACAGCCTGCCTTCTTCTGTGGACCCCCTGGGCGGGAACAAAGCTGTCCGCTGCGGCAGGCTGGCAGGGCCCTCTGTCACTTTCACCCAGTCCTCGCCCTGGGTGGGGCTGCAGTGGCCTGGGTGTCTCCCTCCTTCCCACTCTTCCTCCCAGGCCCCTGCCCCTCTGCTGAGCCTGGTCTTTCTGGCTTGGCGGCCCTGGGGGCTCTTAGGACATGCTGAAGTCCTCCTGAGGCGCCAGGCCCCGGCTCCGCCCCCCACTCCCCTGCAAATGCCACCCAGCGCTTGCTGCCTGATGGACACCCACCCCTCCCTCCCACCGCCCCCTGCAGCCTCTGAGGGGACCTCAGGCAGCCTTGGCTCCAGGCCCGTGGGGTGCGGCCTGCAGCGAGGTCTTGAGGCCCTTTATGGAGGTGGGGCTCAGCCACTCCCACCAGAGCATCCACCAGCACCCGGAGCTGCTGCCCAGGCCCAGGGCACCCATCCCCAGGCGCCCTAGCTTCTTACCACCTGCCAGTCTGCCTCGGACACTCCCCGAGCCCCATGCCTGCACTGGGCATGGCCGGCTCACACTGTCCTGGGCAGTGTCAGGTGAGCAGGGCAGGGACAGTGCTGGGCAGCTGGCAAGGCCCTGTCCTGCACTGTCCCCCCTTCCCGTCTGCCGTTTCCTGCTGCAGGTAGCCCTGCCTGTGCCCGGAACAGCACCGCCAGCTTCCCTGGGATGGGGCCCACCACGTCCACTCCACGGCCTCACCCTGCCTTGGGCTGAGCTCCCCATACCCCTTGGTCCCTCCAGAATCCTTCCCAGCCCTCACAGAAACCCCACCCTCTGGACATGTATCCCCGCCCACCGGGTGGGCAGTTTCCCTGACCCTGACCCCCAGACTTACACTTCCAAGAGGCAGGAGGTCCACTGAGGGTCTTGCCCTAGGCTGGGAGTCTGCAGCCTGGCCAGTGGGGCCGAGGGGTCTGCAGGCCCCCTCTTCTGCCTCTCGCCGGGACTGGGGGTCCAGGGGGACAGGCGGACCAGGCTGCAGGCTCAGCTCAGGGAACCAAGGGTGGCAAAGAGCTGCAGGTGAGGGGCCAGGTGGCAGGAGCTTCCAAGAGCCCAGTCCTGAGAGATGCCTGCAGGGCCACCATGCACAGGCCTGGGCTGTCCCCCCAGTCACCAGCTGTGCCCATGGGCTCTGCCCACCAGAGCAGAGGGAAGGAGAGCACCCGAGAGGGAGAGTGTGGGCCTCTGTTGTGGCCAGGCTCCCTGCCTGGGTCCCGTCTTGCTGGACACATGGCCCTCCTTGGCTTCCTTGCCCACACAGGGAGATTGGGGGATGGGGGTCTCCAGCTGCTGCACCCCTCAACCCAGCCTTGGCTTGGGGATGTAGAGCCAAAGCTGCCCGTGTGGATGCCATCTCACCCTGGAGCAACCCCTCTGACCTTGGGCAGCAGGGTGACCCCAGGGCCCTGACCACTGGGTGAGACAGCTCCTGGCGTGGGCAGAAGGCAGTTAGCTGGCTGCCCTCGCCTCTTGCCCCCAAGGCCTGCCTGTGCCTGGTATCAGCCTGACCTGTGCTCAGACCCCTGTCCTTCCAGCCTGCGTGGGAGCAGGCCTCCGGGTGACTCCCAGGCCTGAAGGGAGTCTCTCTCCAGGAGGCCCCCAAGTCACCTGCCAGCAGGCGAGGCCTCGTCTCTGTGGCCACAGGGCAGCAAGCCCAGGTCCCCGTCTTCATGACCTCAGTCCTGGTGTGGGACTCGTGTAGCCCGACCCAGGCTCAGCCTTTCCCTGCCAGGGTGCCTGGCGGAGGCTCTGCCTCGCGGTTGGAGGGAGATTTCCAGAGGCTCCAGGTCCCGGGAATCGCCTGCTGAGGATCGGCTCTGGGACCTGGAACTGAGAACACAGGGCCGTAGGGCTGACCGCACCCTGGGCACCCAGTGGCGATCCTTCCAGTAGCCTGTCCCCTGGGGGGTGCCGCCAGCCACAGTCCTCCTGAGGGCACTTGCCCCCGGCCGTGTCTGCGGTACCACCTGCTAGACCCAGGGTGCCGCTGAGGAGGACGCGGGGCACACCATCTGCTGAGAGGACCAGAGGAGTGCGTGTGGAGGACAGGGTCTGAGCATGTGTGGGGCGGGGAGAGGACAGGCATCCTGCAGGGGCCGAAGGAGCCTGGGCCAGTGCCCGCAGTGGACGGCAAGGAGTGGTCCTGCCCATGGGCCAGGAGGGACCTCTGTGGGGCAGCCTGCTCTAGCTTGCCGTCTTGGTCATGGGCATTTTGTAAAACTGTTGATGGCTACTGGGACCCAAGCCTAGGAGGCGGAGCTGGGCCTCTGCAGGCCCCCCCACCCCCGTGTTCCCCTGCCCCTCTGCTGGGCCGTCGGGAGCAGCCAGGGAGCAGCCAGCTGTGCGGTGGGCCTTCACGGTGGGAACGCTGCTTTCCCAGAGGCCATCTGCAGATGGTCGCCCGTGGCTGGACCGGAGTTAGCTTTGCTGTCCCCATGGAGGGTGAGCGTGGAACCCTAAGTGGACGGCCGCGGGCAGCAGGTTAGCAGAGCAAGCCGACTGAGTCCCCAGAGCAGGCACAGCAGGGCTGCATCAGCCACCAGGAAACCTTTCCTGTGAAGGCTGCAGAGCAGACTCGAGCTCTCCTTCAGAACTGGGCCTGCTGCCCTGGGAGCGCCAAAGCAGCCAGGGGTTCAGGAGCCGGGGGCGCCGCCCGGTGCACCCAGCCGCCCTCCCTACAGAAAGAGGCGGCAGTAGGAGGCCCTGAGCTGACCGCCGTCTTTCCTTGGGTCTGGCCACCGACATTCCGCCTCAGTCTCTGGCCTAAATGAGACTTTTCACCGCAGCATGAGCTCCCACCCCACCTGACCCCAGCACCGGCCCCGGGGGGCAGCACCAGCTCCTGCCTCAGCCCAGCCACCTGCAGCCAGCTCCCACCAGGTCAGAGGGCACTGAGGTGGCGGCGCAGAGCCCCCAGGACCCCCTCTGGTGAGCGCGGTTTGTTGGCAGAGCCAGAGCGCCTCAGCAGAGCGTCCGGTCACTTAAGCCTAGGGCTGGGCCGGGCTGCAAGGAGAGGCATCGAGGGCCAAGAGCCAGCCACCGACAGGCTGCCCCGGGAGGTGTCTCCAGGAAGTGCTGTGCATCGGGCAAGGGCCCAGGCCTGGGGGGCTGTCCGCAGGGGAGCGGAGAGGGGAGGTGGGCTGCGCCGGTAGTGGGCCTCCAGGACCTCTGAGCTCTGTGTCCTGGGCCCACAGACACCAGTCGCCCCTGGCGAGGGACAACAGGGCCCGTCCTTCAGGGCTGCATCTTGGTGGGTGAAGAGGTGGCAGGACTGCAGGCAGGGAGGTCTCGTGACCTCGAGGACGCTTGCCAAGGCAGGCGCCTGCAGGGGCCTAAAGCTCAGTGGCACGGTGGCTGACGAGGACATGGTGGCAGAAGTCTCCAGGCCCTGAGAAGCCACTGGACCCGGCTCTGCCTGGCCAGGTGAGCTTCTGGCTGCAGAGGGGTGCGACCTGGAGGTGAGGACGGAAGGGATCAGGTGGCTAGGGTGCTGGTGGAGGTGTGCAGAGGGGGTCCTGCGGGCCCCCGCGCCAGGGAGCCTGTGTTGCTTCCGCAGGGGTCCTGGGGGCTGAGTCCTCCTTGCGTCCATGGCCCCTGGGGCCTGCACTCCCAGGCTCACAAGCATGCAGCTAGAGTGTCAGCCCTGAGCAGCCCTTGGGGTGGCAACAGACATGATGCGGACTTTGCCAGGGCCCCTCAAACACGGACTGTACCACACTCACCCTCTTTACACTAGATGCCCGACCTGTCCCACCCCACGTGGGGCATCTGACAGAGTCCACTTCAGGTCTCCAGGGAAATGAGGCCAGAACCGGAGCTTCTAGCCAGCCAGGAGGGATGGTGCACACCTGTGATCCCAATGACTCAGAGGCTGAGATAGGGGGGTTGCAAGTTTGAGGCCAGCCTTGGCCACTTTGAGGCCCGAAGCAACTTAGCAAGACCCTGTCTCAAAAAATAAATAAATAAATAAATAAAAATAAAAATAAAAAGAGCTGCAGATGGAGCTCAGTGGTCCCTAAGTTCAATCCTCAGTAGAACAACAAAAAAGAACGGGAATTCAAAGTCTCAGGCAGGAGAACCCTCCACTGTCCCAGCCTGGCTGCACTGAGATCAGCTCCCTGCCATTTTGGGGGACCCAGAAAGGTCAGCGGTGGCCATCAGACTCGGGCCTCCTGGGTGAAACGTGAGTGCAGGGCGGGGGCTCCGCTGTTCTGAGGGCCACAGGCTCAGCCAGACCCAGGGTCACCTCTGCTCCAGGAAGAACCCGAGTCCCTCCCGGGGCCGGGACTTTCTGCAGGGCACTCAAGACACAGAGGCTGAGGAGAGGCGGGCCACCCTCAGCCAAGAACACACGGCTCAGCCATCGATGGCTCCAGCAGGACAGTCTCAGTGCCCTCTGCACACAGAAGCTGCCCCGTTACGATGGAGAAGCAATGTGTCACCACGGAGGCCACCATCCTCCCAGGTCACTGGGCCTCCTTGGGAAGGAGCCTGTGCTCCCCCAAGGGTGGCAGGTGACAAGTCCTGACTGTGCTTTGAGGGTCTAAGGACAGGTGGCCATCTACCGCTGAGGCCAGGTCTGACCGCAGTCCTACCTGCTGGCAGTGTAGGGGGTGGACGGCGACCAGGTCACGTGGCAGGCTGGGTTTCCGGGAGCTCCTGTCCCTGGCCACTGCCCCTCGCTTCCTGGAAGGACGCAGAGCTCTAAACTCTCGGCCACAGTCAGCGAGGGTGGGGTGGACAGGGAAGGGTGGGATGGGCTGGCCTTGGAGTACCCAGGGGCCTGTGCCACCTACAGAAACCCCATAAAACGTGCTCTGGGAGCCCCAACTCTGCCCGATATCACTCAGGGTCGGAGGCAGAGGAGAAGGCTTCCAGGAGACGTGGGAGGCCAGGTGCCTCTCTGGGCTCCAGAGGGTTGGGGCTGAGGGCCGGGAGGCAGAGTCCACACGGGCAGGTCTCCAGGGCTGCCAACACACCAGGCCACAAGAGCACCAAACCAAGACGTGCTCTGGCCAACTCCAGCGAGCGGTCCTGCGCCACAGAGGACCGCGAGCCCCCTGTCCACAGCTGCGGACAAGCCCCCAAACTCACTGAGTGCTGCTGCAGGCCTCACTAGCAGACCAGGCCTCAGAACGGCCCCAGGAGGCGGCAGGTGGCGTGGGGTTGGCTGTCCGCACCCCTTACAGCAGGCACGGAGGGGACTGTCCACTGGGCATCTCTCGTCGCCGTCTCTGGGGCAGGCCCAGCTTAGGTGGAGCAGCTGGACCTCCACACAGCAGCGAGACCAGACGGGGAGGCTCGGGGGCGGGTGGCAGCAGGGGAAACAGGGTTTCTGGATCCCTGGGAGACAACCCTGGAGCACGGGGCAGAGAGGTGTGGGTCTGCTCACAGTGTTTGTGAACCACTTACCAGTAAGAGTCACATTTATATGATGCATATTTACAAAACACTAACCTAAAATTATACTTCTGCCAGTCTCCACTTGAGATGTGTGATTACTCAGATCATAACAATAAAACCAAAGAGAAAACATCGATACTCTTTTAGAAGACAAAACAAAGTTCTCGCTGTGTTTCTGTGTTTTTTGGTCCCACTTTCTAGTATAACAAAATATTTTAATTACCCTTCCTCCAAATAGAACACCATGAAAATACTTGTAGGAGTTGGATCTCAGTAACCCACAGCTATAGAACATAGTCCAGGAATTACAATCTCTCTGATTGAATGATCATTGAAGAGAAATAAAGACAAAAGTTATCTGAGCAGAGGGAAGAGTGTCTTGCTGTGGTTCTGGAGTTCAGAAGTGGGCTCAAGGGGAGGCGGTCACTTGGAGGCCACTGTCCCCAGGGTCAGGCTGTGTGGACAGTGCTTGGTTTAGACACGAGTCTTAGCTCCTCAGGGCAGGAGGGTCTCCAGAGGGCAGAAACAGAGGGTCTGAGCTTACAAACCCCAGGAGCAGATGGCCCCACCCAGGGACAGGATGAGAAGGGATGGGTGCCCCACCCAAGCCTGGGGGGCAGGCAGGTGGCGCAGAGGCTGCCTTGTCCAGGCAGATGCCAGTGGAACTTCTGATGACCACTGGATGGCCACAAGAGCTGGAGTCTGGGGCAGCCTAAAGCACGGTCAGTGCTTCTGACGGCAGAGATGCCTTCCTGGAAGGCCCGGGCTGCCCGTGGAGCGTGAGCCTGGGTGGGGCCTCCACGCCCTGGAGGGGACCAGTGCCTTCCCTGGCTCTGCTGGGCCCCAGGCCACTGCCTGCTCTGGCCTCTGGCAGGTCTCACCACTGCCCGGCCCTTCGAGGGGCAGGCTGGGGGCACAGGCCTGAAGGGGCGAGGTTCGCAGACATGAAAGGCCCCGGGCGTGGCTGGACTGGTTCTGGTGGGCAGGCGCAGGCTGCCAGGCCTCCTCCCTCCACATTACATTCGCCAGGCAGGCTGGGAGCTGGCTCCCCACAGGAGGGCCTGAGCAGGCCATGCCCTGGCTCTCCCGCTGCCTTGGCTTCCTGTGGCTGTGGTCAGCCCTCTGGCAGGCTGGTGGAAGAGGGGGAGCTGGCCCCATCTGCTCTCTGCCCGGATGACCATTCCCACTGGCCCTGCACACTGGTTCCTGCTCGGGCAGCCACCCCACAGCCTCAGAATAGCCACCCACTCCTGAGCACCTTCTCCTCCTCCTGTCACACCACAGTGGAGCCCCGATGACCCCCAGCCCCTGGGACTGTGACCTCCAGGCTTCAGGTCCTCTCTGACAAGCCAGCGCCCAGCTGTCTCCGAGGCGTCCCCAACTCCTCAGGTCCCTCCTGTCTGGCCATTTGTCCTCAGGAAGAGGCCCATCTGCACCTCAGGACAGGGTGCCGGGGTGGGGGTCCTGCAGGGCACTGGCCCCTGCCTCGTGAGCCGATTCCCTCTCCACCCACAAGTCCTGGGGCTGCAGGAGGTACTGCCAGTCATTCTGTGGGTGCCCAGTCGCGGCCTTCCTTGGGTGTGTCATTGAACCCGTGGTGCCAGGCAGAAAGATGGCAGCCCAAGGTGGCCACCTCTGCAGGCACAGCTCCTGAGGGCCGGCACCCTGCTGGTGGCCCAGCACCCCGATGGGAGTCGTGGGTCCATGCCCCAGGCCCCCTGTGCCGCAGCTTCCTCCTGGGGCGCTCGTGGCAGGTGACTTGGAGGGCGGCAGAGCTGGGGCTTGGAGGTGGGCCACGGCCCAGGAGCGGGGGAGAGGTGCCGTGGTCCTGCGGCCAGGAGCCCAGGCTGAGTCACAGCTCAGACGGAGGCTTTGAAGGAGGTGCCCCGCCTGGGGCTGGTGAGAGGGGGATGTGGGTCCCACTGTGCCCACACCCTGGGGAGGACACCAGGCAGGCAGGTCCACTGTGGGTGCTCCTGACCACACCAGCCTGTGACCAGTGGGGCCGGTAGCAAGGGGTGCAGGTGTGGCTTTCCCAGCGGTCAGGTGGACGCTCCGGCCCTCCTCCACCCTGGACTGTAAGGCTGGCCAGACGCACACGTCACCTGGTCCCTGCTCAGCACGGCTCCTCCTTGGAGCCCGGGGTGATGGCTGGTCTGAACGTGTCCCTCTCCTTCTTCTTTGCCACCTGTGCCCTCTGCCAGGCAGCCAGGAGGGCGTCCAGGGCCCTGCTCTCGGCAGGCGCCTATGCCAGCTTCGCCCGGGAGGTCGCTGCGGCGGCCCAGCTGGCGGCCTGCTGCCTGGAGATGCAGGTTCTGATGGAGATCGGCCCCTGGGCAGGGGGCTTCGGGCCCGACCTGCTGCTGACCCTGGTCTTCCTGCTCTTCTTGGTGCATGGGGCCACCTTCGATGGGGCCTCGGCCAACCCCTCTGTGGCCCTGCAGGACTTCCTCATGGCTGAGGCGTCTTTGTCCAGCACCCTGCTAAAGCTGGCAGCCCAGGGGCTGGGCATGCAGGCCGCCCACGCCCTGGCCCGGCGCTGCTGGGCCTGGGAGCTCAGCGAGCTGCACCTGGTGCAGAGCCTCATGGCTGCCCACTGCAGCTCCGCGCTGCGCACCTCTGTGCCCCAGGGCGCCCTGGTGGAGGGAGCCTGCGCCTTCTTCTTCCACCTGGCCCTCCTCCGCCTGCCGCACAGTGCCCCTGTGTACAGGGTGCCCACCCTGGCCCTGCTGGTCACCGTCATGACCTACGTAGGTGAGACCTGCTTCCCTGTGCGGGGCCCTTCAGGACCACAGCAGGAGAGGGGGGTGCTGGCCAGAGGTGCTCCAACCCCCAGGCTGAGGCGGCCACTTCCTGGGGCCCTGAGGGGCATGTAGGGCCAGCAGGTTGGAGGCCGGGTGGTGGGGAGGCACCGGCCCCTGCCAGCTGTCTCCCTGCCAGCTCCCAGCTGCCTGGTTCATTCCAGAAAAGCCACACCTGGTCCCAGGGTCAGCCCAGAGGTTCTTCAGGGCCTGGCCCCACCTCGGACCTGAGATCCCCTGAGTCCTTTGACACACCCCCAGGAGTGACAAGTCCTGAGGGCCATCTTCACTCACGTCCCCACACTCCCTATGGGGCTCTGAGATGGCAGTGCCTTCCTTGCCGCACACCTGTGACCCCTGTCCCAGCCAGGCTGACCTCCTGACCAGACTTCCTGGGCCCCGCTCACGGTCCTGCCCTGATTCTGGGTCCTAGACCTCAGGCACGGGCACTGGCTCCACCAGAGGGGACTGTCCCTGAGCAGGTATCTTACACAGATGGGCTGCAGCTCAGTCAGCACAGGCCCAGCACAGGGCGGGCAGCCGGTGGCCTGGACCACCGAGGCTGTGGAAAAGGCTGTCCGAGTCCCACACCGATGGGGACACTGAGGTGAGATGAGCCGGGGGCTCTGCAGGGACAGGCTCTGTGGCCCGATGGCCTGGGCTCGGCCTCAGCACAGACGCCCAGGCATCTCGGGTGGGTATGCCGCTG